ACGCCATTATAACTACAAGCGCTCATCTTGATGTAGGCTGAGAATATAGCCGAGGAAGCATATCTTCAACAATAATAAGGACTTACCCTTGAAATCATGGATCAATTGATAATGACACTGGTGGTCCTTGGGTTGCTAGCACGGAGTTACGGTTGTTTAGCGTATCACCTTTTGCAAGTGTCGGAACCGGATCGTATAGGTGTAATGTAGCGTTGTATTGTGGTATATCCAGCCAGAGGCATGGACATTAAATAACTAGCAATGGATCTTCCTGTGTTTTTAGGCATAAATAATAAAGGAAGAGGGGGTTTCCGATCAACATTGCATTACAACGGACAACATGGTTAGTACTGAAATCGTCATGCTTAGTCATTTTGGTAGCTGCATCATGGACTCGCATCTAGCTAGTCATATACGAAAACATTGCTTTGTTGACGCAAGCGAACCTTTACTCGAGCTATCGATGTTCATTACTTTTCTATAACTGACACATACATTTGTAAAAAATGGTCTCTTATTTCTTGTTTTTTCTTCGTTTTCAATTAACGGTGTGTTAATTGGCTAAGCTAACGTTGGCATCATGTAACTAACCGGACACGCATGTGTTTCAGGATGGCGACAGTGTTAATTGAAACGGCTTAGCCGTAGAATGACAGCAATAACACAAAAAAGTCTATGACTTATAATTCTAGCAGTTTATTGCAAAAAAAAGTTCCAAGAAGGGCGTGAAGACTACAATTGCTATCCTTCTTTTCCCGCTACACATGATCGTGTAAAATCAACTTTAAACAGAATATACATAATAGTATGAAAAGCAAAAATAATACAAATACATATACATATACATATACATAACAGGTGGTGGAGCTTTATGGGCGAACTTTTACAGGGCGAATCGTAGGTGGCTCTGCCAGAAGTGCATTGATAAGGACAAGATTAGGATGTCCAACTGGTTTCCTTTGCGGGACCTGGCGTTTCCGGATGGTATGCCGGGGAGACGTTTTCTTAGTTCGCGAACGAGCTAGCAATAGTCGATCTTCAGGCGTGTTAAGATGAGCCGCAACATCAAGCATCTGCGAGGACAGCATTTGCTTTTTCAATGCCAACTATGTTAATTATTCATCAAAGCTACTCAAGAATAAAACCTACATTCATTTGACCTATTCGGCATTCTCCAGCGCCCAGATGACCTGTATGCTAAAGAAACATATCAATATCTGCGCTGAATACAATTGCTTTGAACTGCGTCAATATACCTTGAAGTTTGTCGGCCGCCCAATGATGCTCTTGGTTACCTTTTTGTATTTTGGCCTTCGCCTCACCGCTGTGCTACCACTGTGACGAGATACTTTTTGCCGACGACGAGATGGGGTTGCACTTGGTTTATTGATTCCTGGATCACATCCCACAGTAGCCGCAGTTCGACTGCAATTGATATGATTTGAGCTTTTTACGGCAGTAGACAGTACAGAAGATAGTTGTTTAGCTTTAGAGATAGTACCACCCATAATTGCTAGAGAAAAAAAAACCGCGGACTTAACAGTTCTTTGCCGTGAAGTCTTTATACATATTCCAACTGACTGTAAAAGGCAAGGATAAACAATGAAATTGAAAACAATTCCTATTTTTGTATCTTTACTCGGCAGTATATTATATGGCCTTCATATGACACATGACAGTTCGTCCATCGACATCCGCCTAAAGCTAATATTTCTGTCATCTCGTTTCTCCTCAGACACAGAAGAAGAAATGAAACACCGCTTTGCAATTCCGATGGCTCACGGTGATACGGCTGAGGTCACACAGGGGAGAAATAAAAAAAATGAAAGGGGCCCACAGATAGACTGATCAGAAATAGGCGAGGCCTCTTTCTTTCTCTTTTAACACAGAATCATTGTTGATGCTACACTACGTATCTCAAATCCCCTACCGCTGGCGGATAGTTATCATAGGTCTGATAACCATCCTGTTTGTCAGCCAAACATGGTTAATAACACAGTCGTCAAGCCAGTTGCTGGCATCGTCAACTGGTCGAACTTCTATGGTTGAAAGCGACGATACACTGGATAAACAATCTCAATTCTGGCGTCCATTGCCATCAATTCAGTATCCGTTTGGTAAAGAACCTGCAGCATTCGCAAATAAACGGGAAAAACGGCGAGCAGCCGTAAAAGACGGTTTTCTTCATGCGTGGAATGGCTATAGTGAGTGGAACGTTGTAAAAGAGGGAGAGATGCATAATTAATTTGACCTAGAAAAATACGCTCTTGGCCATGATGAAGTAAAGCCATTGACTAATTTGTCCAAGGATCCATTCGGTGGTTGGGGAGCGACATTGGTAGATTCTCTCAGCACATTGCTCGTTATGGATTTAAAGGAGGAAGTCGAATCTGTGCTTTCTGAGTTGGATAAAATCGAGTTTGATTTGGACAGAAATGTGAGCGTGTTTGAATCCATCATTCGGTACCTCGGCGGATTGTTGAGTGCATACGAATTATCGGACAAACAAAACAAGATTTTACTTGACAAAGCCAAACAACTCGCCGACGCACTCCTACCCGCCTTTGACACTCCATCTGGATTGCCTCACTCGCAATGGAATCCACATCAGTAAGCAGTATGTGTTGTTGTAGGATTACCTCGCTGAAACATCTTTTCAGACGAACTTCACCGAGCAATTTTACTGTTCTTGCGGAGATTGGTACCGTACAATTGGAATTCATGGTATTGTCCGAGCATACTGGAAACCCTATTTATAAATATACGGTACGTATGCAAGACCTTTTATGACATGCGTGTGTGACATAGCCGATATAGGCCCAAGCAATTACTGACTTTCTTGACAACGTGGGTTTCGAGCATGGCATGGATATCGCTGGACTATACCCAACAAGTTTGGATGTATCCAAAGGGCGATTCAGAGACAGTGAGTACTTGATCGCCATAAAGCACGCAATTTTCTGAAAATGTAATGTAACTTACAGATACATGCACGTTTGGTGGTGCTGGGGATAGTACATTCGAGGTAACATGCGAGAGAAGCAGTTTCATCTTATTAATTCTTATTACCTACATAGTATTTCCTAAAAGAATACTTGTTAGTCCAAGGATCTGTTCCGCAATATGCCAGAATGTGTAAGAAGTGCTTATTCTTGTGCGTTTCCCACGTAACAGTTCCACCAAAGACATAGAATCCGTGGATAATATGAAGCACCACATGCTCCGTCAAGTGATTGGATCTGAACTTTTGTTTCTACCACCCTACAACACAAGAATGGGAAAGCCATCTAATAACAATATGGAGCACTTGGTATGAACCATGGAAGAAAAAGCAGTAATCGCTCATAAAGTCAATTATGGTAGACATGTTTTGTACCTGGGATGCTGGCCATCGGTGCAAAAATATTCGATAGACCCGATGATCTTACCGCAGCGAAAGGGCTGCTAGAAACATGTGTATATATGTACCGTACTTCACCCACGGGGCTATGCCCTGAAGCTTGGTCGATGATGGGTACAGTGCCATATAATCCGCTCACTTACAATCGGCCCCAGGAGGAGTTAGAAAAATCTCGAAACTGGTGGTATTCGGATAGTGCCGTTACGCCGCCAAAACGGAAAGATGAAAATGTCCGCATGCCATACGATATCAACTATAAGTTACCATCACCAACACCGCGACCAAGCACAATAAAACCCTTTAACCGAAACTATCTATTACGCCCAGGTAAAGCGTTTCGGTAACTTAGACCAGCTTACTGACGTCTTTTGACAGAAACATTAGAAAGTATTTACATTTTATACCGGATCACAGGTGATCCAAAATATCAGGTAAGACTCTGCTCCTAATTAAAGGAAAAATAGTGACAAACGCGGCATTGGTTAGGAATATGGATGGGAAATATTCCAAGCTATTGAAAAACATTGCAAAACGAAGTCAGCCTATGCAGCAATTCAAAACGTCGAAGAAGCAAACGAAGATGACATTCAATCTAATCAGCTAGACTCTATGGAAAGGTAAGTAAGCATGGTAACCATCTTGCGAAAGCTTATATTTTCTGTATAGCTTCATGCTTGCTGAGACTCTTAAATACTTGTACTTGCTATTTAGCCCGCCAGATGTGATTTCGCTCGATGAATTCGTTCTCAACACCGAAGCTCATCCTCTTAGACCCATCAGATCAAAAGCTTGATTGATACAAGTGTGATCTGATTTAGAAATAAAGCCACTGCCGGGCACGTATATTAGAAAAAAAAAGGAGTAATGAGGGAAGCAGAGTAGTATCTTTGTTACTGTAGCATAGCTAAATTATAACTATATCGCTTTGAGCAAAGAATCAAGGCAGAGCCGAGAAACAATCTTAAGGTTTTGCTCTGCTGTAAATATAAACTACTTGTAGGTTATGCATCAATAATGGTTGGAGTATTTCGACATATAAAAAGGTCTTTGCGAGCATGCTATAACAGTCAAATGTGCCTTTAGTATGACCAACTATATATATATATATCGACCTTTAACTTGAGTTCTGTGTGCTTACGACAGTTCGAATAGCAAAAGTATTACTGTACGAATTGCATACATGTACCATATCGAAAGTGTTGTACTTCGTATCAGTCGTTGCTTTTAACAGAGCATGGTGAAAGCAGAAGCAAAGTGTCAAAGCCTTAACAACAGCAGCGGCAAATGTAATCAAAGCCAGAATGCGTAATGACAATGAATGACCTTACATTTATTTGAAAATATAGGTTCTTGTTTGTTGATGAATATATTCTAAGCGGTGGAGAGAAAAGAGAGTTGAGTACAATTCAATCAGACACAAACAAAGAAAACTCCACTTTGCAGTTCTTCGGTACACACCATTAGCTTGGAATTTTCTGCACATACGAAATGACGTTGTGAATATTCACGACGTTTCTTGGAATTTTTTTAACATTTCACATTCTCGAACTCTCTGTATCACTCCGATAATTAAAATCGTGCATGCCGTTGTCAATGACCAGACAACTTGCCTGAGTGGTTAAAGGGTATGACTCGAAATCATATGGGCTCTGCCCGCGCAGGTTCAAATCCTGCAGTTGTCGTTTTTTGCGCCGCTCAAAAATTTCGACCAATCATATTTCAGATTTCCTTTTTGGGTTAAAATTTCAAATTGGCTTTGGGCAATTCCAGTGCAGTGACTAGCCCAATGAAAGTTTTTTATCATGTATTGCCATTAGCAATGTAGCTAATTGGATTCTTGCGTATGCAAATTTACTCTAGCTCTGTAAAAATGAAAAGCTATACTTTATAGAAAACTTTGTTAAAGACAGATATGTTAATTTGGTACCGAGTAAGTGAAAGATCGTTGCATATAACGGAATGGATTAATCAAAGCTTGAGCTCAAGACGTAGAAAGTCTTGACTAGGCAACTCCTTAGGTACATTCTATGTAAATTTAAAGCCGTTTAGATTAGCAACAGCTCGTTTTATTCCTACATTGGTAAATGTGAATCTATAAATTGCGAAACAACTTGTCATAGTTTCTATGTACTATTAATTGATTGACTTTATCAGACAGTTTTAGAAAGAATTTCGTTTAAATATGACCCATGCTCGCTTTTGACTCCAGTGGATTCAATAGACTTTGGTTGCAGACGGGTAGACAGGCTCAGGTCACAAAATTCCCACGCATTAATTCCGATGTGACAAAAGGTCCGATTATTTTTTCACACGGTAACCAACTCTGACCCCAAAAACCGAGACAGAATAGACAAAGAATGACAGCTTTGTCTCTCTTCCTTATCTGTGTGTCATACCATGCTTCGAACAACGCATCTCTTCCAAAAATCACCATCGATTACATATCTCGCCAGCAAAAGGCTATTCCATGTAACAAGACAAGTAAGCATAGACCAACGAACCTCATCCAGAGCCTTCTGTTTAGAGTGAGAACAATTCTAGAGCCAAAATGCATTGTCAACTAAGCGAGCAACCGACTCGTCATCTCCCAGCTGGTCTTCCGCAGAGAAGTTCACAAAAGACATGACATTTATACAGAATATGGAACCATTAAAGGCTTACCGGGTGATGGACCACACCGGCACCGTCTTAGATGAGAAACACGATCCCAATTTGCCAAAAGAGATGGTTCTAGACTGTTATAAGAAAATGGTGAGCCTACATACCATGGATGGAATATTATATGAGGCACAGCGCCAAGGCCGTATCAGTTTCTATATGACGCATTACGGTGAAGAGGCCCTGATCGGAAGCGCTGCAGCATTGCAGCCCGAGGATGTCGTTTTTGGTCAGGTAGGATATAAAAAACACAATAACTAGCTCAACACCTCTCCCCAAGAAGCGATTATACATATTCAAGATAAAAAAAATTTTACTAGTACCGTGAAGCGTTCATGCTCTTATACCGTGGTTTTACGATGGATGAGATTACGAACCAATGCTTTTCCAATGAACTGGACTACGGCAAAGGAAGACAAATGCCCATCCATTATGGTTCCAAAAAGCACAACTTTCAAACGATCTCTTCACCGTTAGGAACTCAGATCCCCCAAGCTGCTGGTGCAGCCTATGCTCTCAAGCTATCTGGAAAACAAGCTTGTGCTATATGTTTCTTTGGAGAGGGTGCTGCATCCGAAGGTGACTTTCACGCTGGATTAAATATGGCTGCCACTTTGGGTAGTCCAACGATCTTCTTCTGGTAAGCACCGTGTGTTTATCTGGTATTTGCAAGATCGTTTATGACCCACAAATAGTCGTAACAACGGATATGCCATTTCCACACCTTCATCCGAACAATACAAGGGCGACGGCATTGCGAGCAGAGGTGCAGGTTATGGTATCGATACCATAAGAATTGACGGCAATGACATCTGGGCTGTCTATAACGCTACCAAAGCTGCACGGACGATCGCTTTAGAGGAGAAGAAACCCGTTCTGATTGAAGCAATGACCTACCGTATTGGCCATCATAGCACATCCGATGATTCCACCAAATATCGAGACCGTAAAGAGGTGGAGGAACGTGCGCAGTTCGATAATCCCATTACGCGTCTCAGACGATATCTGGAAAATAAACAATGGTGGAGCCAGGAAGAAGACGATAACTGGAAGAAGGAAGTAAAGAAACAAGTCCTCACCAGTTTTGCTGCAGCAGAAAAGAAGAAAAAGCCAGCAATCCGTAACCTATTCACAGATGTGTACGATGAGATGACTCCGAATTTGGTTGCACAGCATCGGGAATTGGAAGAGCTGATCAAGAAATATCCAGAATACTACTCAACCAAAGAATTTGCTTCCTAATATGTACTTGATATAGTGTCTACTTGCTAGAATAGATGGATAGATATGTATTGTGTTGTATTTAAAGTGTTCATTGAAATATGTATCCTTTCCTTGGAGCAACGAGTTTTGCTAAAGGGCTCCGTTATTCATATCCTGAAAATACGTGGCATCCCAGCCCGTTAGAACAGCCGAACGGGATAGATACATATACTAACTGTTCAAAGGACCTCGCCTCACAATCTCAAGCAAGGCAGATCGCAATATATTAACTGCAGAAAAGGGTGCAAATAGAGGGCGAGCCCGTTTTGCCAAACCTTACTGGGCACGTCACTAAGCGCGTCTGTGGCCTGCGAGTCCGACGGGAGCTTTTTGTCCTCCGGTTCTTAATCTTCATCAGAATGCCAGTACTCGATCTTCGAGGCTGTCTTGAAGACTCGCCGAAATTCCGGAAGCGCATAAACGATTATGAAGACTCCATCCAGAACTTTGAAAACTCTCTAAAAACGCTAGTGAAACTGTCTCGCGCACAAGTGGAACTCTCCACAGGTTAGAAACTTCATGATTCCTCGTCTATTCCCTGTTCCGACTGACCTTATTTCAGAGTACAGTCAGCGTCAAAAGGAACTTGCACAAGAGTTTATGAACTTTTCCCATTCTCAAGATGACCCTATCGTTGGTAAATAAGAAAGAAAGAAAGAATTCCTGCATACGCTATAGCAATCACTCAAACCGAAGAAAAAAAAAACCACCGCATAGCCCACGCCTTGGAAAAGTTCGGGAGATCAATTGCTGAAGTGGAAAAGTGCAGAAACATGTTTGTGAGTCTCTAATATGCATTGAGCGATATCGTACTGATTTCCGAATGATCTACCCGATTCTATTATCTGCTCTCTGGCTCGGCTTTCTCTTTGTTTTCTGGATTCATAGAATTCCCATGTGGTTGATACGTTTATTGCTCCCTTGGAAACATTCATCAAACAGACCCTATCTCCTATCAAGGTAAACAAAACCTTATGCCAGCTAATTTCGTAGGCATTGATGATGAATCGCAGGAAGTGAAAAAGCGATTTGAAAGAGCGAGTGATGATGTGGATACGGTATTGGCACGATATATGGGAAAGAAACCCAGGGATCCGACTTTAGCCGATGTAAGAAGTGATTTTGGCATATCAACTCGCATTGAAACTCTCAATGATTTTAGTCCGCAAAAGAACTAGGTGATTCCCGGAAAGCATATCATCAGACGTATATGGAATATGTGGCGAAACTTAATGAGATCGAAGCAAAAAAGAAAGTTGACTATATGGAAAATGTACTGTATATACTTTTGGTTTTGGTTTTGAGCTTAGTTATATGCTAATATGGGATTGTTAGATTCTTGCTTACATGTATACCGAATCCGTATTCCATCATCAAGGTTATGAAATCCTGAAAGATCTTGAACCATACATGCGAGATTTAACGGGTAAGAAAGATTAGGACGATAAAATGTGGCTCACTCTTTACGTTAGGGCTGCTTGGCGATGTGGGTTCATATACTTGAGCATATGTCATAAATCATCCATAACCATTGAATTAGATGCGTCAGCGGTATGTCGAAGAATCCGCGGAATGTGTTACCTACCAAAATTTATGCGCTCAGGTAGAGTTAAAACGTACTTACTTTAGCTCACATCTTGTGGAAGAGTACCGCATCTGAATATGACCCAACACATAACAACTATCTCCATATACCAAATTCTAAAAAATCGATCCCTGCCTTAAGAGTTGAGAATAGCGCAGTAAAGTCGGGTTACCTTTTCGAGCGTAGAGGTGGTCGTGTCCTGCAGAGCTGGGTTCGCAGATACTTTAGCATTGAAGGCGATGAATTATTATGCACAACGCGAAATGCAAAAGTAAAGGGACATATGGTTAAAGTTGTCCTGCTCCTAACGTTTGCTGATAGCCGACAAGAGAAGAGGATCAGCCATTATCTTATAATTTGCGCCTCTGCAGCGTCAAGCTATGCGATAGTTACGACCGCCGTTTTACCTTTGAGGTGATATCTCCCATGAGGTAAAAGAGTACATCCAATCGGTGAGCCCATTTCCTAACATTTCATTTTAAAGAGTACTTGTATTACAAGCGGAAACCGAAGAAGAAATGCATGATTGGATAGAAAGTTTGAAAGCAGCATCCCAGAAAGCTTTAAACTCAAACAAGTCTCCAACGCGACTACGAAATAAAGTAAGTAAAGGAAAAACATCAGATCTATTGGCAACTAAAACCTCTTCTTTATCGAAGGGTTCCGCTATTTCGCACGCTATCGAAGTAAAAGATTCTTCTACCTCAAGCTCAGAAAACAATAGAGTATTACTTAAAACATTACGACAGACTCCAGGAAATGACAAATGCGCCGATTGTCGAGCAGAAGGTTGTTCAGATTATTTATACTTGCATATTGCGGCTTACATACGATGAACAGCACCTGAATGGGCCAGTATTAACCTTGGCGTGATTGTATGTATCGAATGTTCTGGTATTCATCGTAGCTTGGGCGTGCATGTCAGCAAAATCAGATCCCTTGTTCTGGATAAATGGGAAACAGAAACGATAGAAGTAAGCATAGTGTTACTCATAGCCATCTGTACTGACACAGTTCGTAGGTGATGCTTCGGATAGGAAATACCGAAGCAAACCGTATATTCGAGCAGCAAATACCTTCAGACATGGAATCATTCAGGATCCGTCCTGATTCTTCACGGTTTGTAAAATTTTCTACAGGAAGAATTAGTGACTTATTGCTGATGCGTAGCCCTGA